CACGCGCGTTCTACCTTCGCGTCGAGTTCGCTTCTGTTCCTCCTGTTTCACCTTCTGCTCCTTTTGTTCCTTCGGCTCATGGCTTTTCTTCATTACCAGCCGCGCCTCGCCGCATGCAGAGCCACCGCTAAACGCAAGCGCACCACCAACCACGCACGCACGTGCGTGTCTCGCGACTTTGCTCTGTGTACGACCTGATCCTAATGGTACGATGAAAATCGTTTTCTGTTTGCTCGTTGTCTGCCGTCTTCTGCTCGCTTGTCCGCAACAGGTTCAATATTGATTCTTTTTTTCACCGTTCACAATTTTTTTTCTGTTGCCTTTTTTCCAATGAGTTTTTGTGGAATTCTGCGGTTCTAATGAAGTATCGAATCCTCCGTTTCCAGCGAAGTGGCGATTCTGACAACCGCTTGTACTAACAACCATCCGCCGTAAAAAATGCTTTCATAAATATGGTATCTTTCCACGTAAAAATATTCCGTTACTGTTAATTATATTATTAAGTGTAATAGTATGTTATCTATGTTGTTAGTTGCTCAGAAACAGGTAAAAATGTAATCTTTCATTAAATGTTGTTTCATCAATGAAAAATCATTTGTTATATCATTTCAGTGATACGAACGTATTAAAAAAAAAAAAAAAATGGAATCATAGACAGAAGTTCCATGCAATGACAACGATCAATACTAAGAACACAGTTAAAGGAAAAAAAAATACAGCTAAATATGGAATTAAATATGACGAAGTGTAACGAATTTTCATTGTGAATTACAGTATGTATTTGCACGTATAGCACGACTTGTTATAATGACGATTTATGATTTGTAAATATTAATGACATGTAGAATTAATGATCGATGAGTAATAATCGAACTCGATAAAGCTGAATAATTTCATTTACAACTAGTAACATTAGCTCGCTTTCATTAATCTTTTAAATTATTCTTTAATTTATAAATACAAAATAATTCAATATTTTATGAAAACGAGGTTGATATTTCTTTTATAAGATACGTAATAAATATATAGCATAAGACGGTAAATCATGAGATAAATAAGAATAAATAACAAAAGATTATTGCACAAATAGATTAATTATCTCGAAAATAAATTTTCAAAAAATCATGTTCTTCTTATTAACTCAAGTAGCAACCATATAATTGCAGCAAAGTTCATTATTACTCGTTTATGGTTACTTAATCAACATACCGATCGGTTATAAATGGTATTATGTGTTATAATAAGCCACTTAGTATGTGCATTCGAACGCATTAAAGATTGCAAACGATAGGTCGCAATATATATGCTTTAATATGATTCTTTTGTTGTCGTTGAATCGACACGTGATCAGTATTATGATTTTGGTTTCATTTCATTCCGAGTTCAAAATTGTTCAACTCCAAAAAATTATTCGAAAAATTTTATGGCTTTTGATTTGGACAATGTCGTTTGACTTTCTCCAAAAAATTTTCTAAAAACTGAAAAATCATTTTTTTTTTTTCAGGAAACAAATGTCATTGGAGATTGTTCCTTCAACATCAATCCTCTGCTTCAAATGACAAAAAATATGATGTAAGGATATTGTCTACATACGCATAACAAAATCTAAAGTCACATCCTTGGTGTATCCCTGAGGGACCCATGGATGCCATCAGTGTTTTTCCATTACACAATCATTAACAGAATCTAGCGACATGGGTTTAAAATGCTTTATAGATGCTCTGGAATTGCCTTGAAAGTGATCTTTATCTTTATCTGACATTTTCGTAAGGAAAAAGAAACAAACGATATTCGTCGATTTGAATGATAATGAATATCAATAAATTAACTAGAATCAAACAAACAGCTGAAACAATATTGCGAAATTAGTTTATTATTCGATACATCAATGTAATATTTTGTTGCGTGGAATAGAAATTTGTCTGAAATTTTTACCAAGTAGGCCATGGCTTTGTGGGCCGATTTGTAGATTATGACATCAATACTTTTTACGTAACACCGGTGGACGCCAAATGCCTAAGTTGGGTTAATATTCAAGATGCACCACTGAACCGATCAGCTGATCAAATTATTCACGTCCAAAGTCATTTACACATTCCAAGTATTCTGTACAAGAAATAAAGAATATTGGGACAAATGAATTGAAAAACTTTTAATCCTCTGATTTATTATTTTAGAAGATTTGTACATTGATATTTTAACAATAAATTTTACTATTTTTGTAAAATTTAAATTGTAATATATATTTATTTTATATTACATTTTTGTTTGTTTTATTATAAATAATAAAAATAATAAAAAGTATTAAAAATTGAAATATATATAATGAGATACTTTTTACTCTACAAATATATCTTTTTGTATACATTATGTAGTAAATAATATTTAAGTCTATCACATTTTTTTGGTATCTCGCAGCTAGTTCAGCATGTCAAGCAATTTTTTATAGACTAGTTCAAAAGCATCTATAGCCCAAAGAAAATCTATATGATTAAACTTCGCAAATGGCACTTTATAAATAATTGGTTTTTCTGGTAATTCGTTGCTTAATTGCATCACATCCTAAACAAAAATAAAAAATTATATTAAAAAATAGAAAAAAATATTCTACTAATTTTCGAAATACGTACAATAGGACTAGACAACCAATCATTATTGCCGCAAAACAATGTGATCGGCATTGTAATCTTTGATAAATTGTACTTAGGTGGTTCACTACTATTATAAATCTCCATATTTCGCTTTACGCCATAGTTGTACTGTTTGAATTCTCCAGATTTTATTCCTTGAGCATAATGAATCAAGGTCTTAGAAGATGTACCAGCCGGTGTATGGTTCAAAATTACAGGCAACAGCGTCTGCAATGATCGAGAGTGTAGCAGATTTTTACATTATCCATATTGTATACTTACATAATTAAATTGCGCTCTGTCGAATCCAACAAGAATAAACAGCGAATTAACACAAATTTTTTCCTCCCAAAATTGAGCGATACATAAATATTTTGATAAGAATTTTACAACATAATTTTGCGGTAGAAACTCACCCTCACCGAATAGGGAGAAGATCACCTGAGATATGACAGTAAAAATTGAGACATTGCATTGAAAAAGTTATTAGAATTACTTATTTATTATATTTTTTTTTACCTTATAATCATCTGCTAACGGGGCTAAATACCGTAAAGGACTTGTTACATGTTTCATAAACACTACTGGAGCAAGACTGTATGTTGATTGCAACAGTCTTGCTATTTGCGGCCGTTCGCTAGCCATCACGTAGAAACACGTTGTACCCATTGAGAATCCAATATACGCTTTCAAAAAATTCTCCTTCAATTTTACAATGTAAGTGATCATCGCCGGTAGATCATAGATACCTGACTCATGCCAACTAAAACCATAAAATTATAAAATAAATTATAATTTACATTTATTTCTACGAAAATATGCTTATATTATACGTTATGTATAGCATAATTTTGTTTATTTAAATTACTTATTATCAGTACATATACATATTAAAATTTGTTTCTAATTACTTCTAGATAATATATCATCATTTTGCATATTTTCAATCATTGTCAATAATTATTTTTTACAAATACCTAAAGTCCCAGAACTTTAAATCTTCCTGAGATATGGACACGTGCGCTCTTGAATATGTATTACCACGAAAATTTCCAAGCCATACATCGTAACCCTGATCGGCTAATAAATAAGCTGTAACGAAAGGAAATAATTAATTAATTGATATAAAATAAAACTAAAAAATTAGAATTTATACAGAAAAATTTACATAGAAAAAAACTGTTTCTGTACCGAGAGCTTTTCCTTTCCCAAGCATAACCCAATCTGCAGAGCTACCTAATACACCGTGTTGTAAAAAAATCGCAGAAGATCCAGGTTTTCCTGGAATGCGATGCATCGTCAACAGATAACCATCTTCCGTTAACGTTACGTGAGCTTCAGCTGGATAACCCTCTCTTCTTATCATCTGCAGCTAAAATAAAATAATTCAAATTAATATCGATCAATTTTTATTCATGAACTTGCAATTAAATTTAATTATCGTCATTATCGTCGCTTCAGTAAAAATTATTATTTTTAATAAATCTATTCAGAATATTTAATACATAGCTCAAATTATGATTTGACGTTGTTAATTGCTACAATATATTTTGTTTAATTGTTCAATATCATGTATCAATATTTATTATATTGTAACAGACTAGATTAAAAATTAAATAATATTGAAAATTAGATAATAATTTTTTAGTGTAATGAAATATATTTTATTTAAAATTAACATTAATTACTCTCCATTACATATCTTATATTACATATCTTTTGAACTATTTACTAGAATTGTATTATGCCGCAAAAAACTATCTGCTAACAACCACGCATTAAACGTGTTAATGCAATAACTATGTTTCAAATATTTACTTAACAAAAAGTACATATAAAAGTTCATGTAATAATTAAGAAACATAACATGTTTTGCAATTTACAAGTATTAAAAAAATTAAAATATGTAATAGAACGGAAACTTCTTCGTTTAGACCACTTTACTAACAATTATCTTTTAATGATAATAATTACAAATCTTTGTAAAGAAACGGCAAGAAAAAAAATAAAAGATAAGCACGCTTTTAGATAATAAGGGTATTTTCTTAAATATTTTGCGCGCGCTTGGATATTATTTACATTCATGAAAAAATGAAACGTATATTACCTCTATTACTAATTGTAATATGCAAATCTTTACATTTTGCTCTTTTATAGCTAATTTTTTTATATTTTATAGCAAAGAAATTAATAAAATAAAAAATGTAATTCTACTTACTGTATTGAGTTCGTTGTTGGAATTGGATTCTTTATTACGACGAAATAATTTTCTAAAATCGAACGAAATCGCAGAAGAAACAGCACATAATGATAAAAATATGACAAGCTGATTTTTCATTTTAAACTTTATATAATACACTTTATTTGAAACGTTGAGTGAAGACGTGTTGATACTCGTCAGATTTCTCTACTTAAAATATTATATTTGTCATCCTGTTTGTCATTCTTAACACTTTTTATCACTATAAATGAGTTTTAGACATACATTAATCACACTTCGTGATTCATTTATCAAGGCTCATGGTCCATTCCAACGTTAAAAAATTAATTCACTATTTTATCTTAAATTATACAAAAACTTGACGGTTTTTTTGTTTAACTCAAAATCTATAATTTTGATATTCATATTTTGAATAAAATATTCTTATTTTGTTCTATATACTGTATTTCCTGTCGAGAACAAAAATTAATTATTCGAAAAAATTGTACATAATAGTTTATAATTTTTAATAAGTTACTTGCTTTTAAAATAAATTTTTTACATAAGAAGTATTAAAATTAAAAGAAGTATTAAATATACTATATTTATTTCTTTTGTTATATCTTCATACACTATTTTGAGTTATTAAATTTTAATATACTTCTATTACTATCTTGAAATTCATAGACATTTTTAAATTTTAATAATACAAATATTTTACATAAATATATATATATACATTTAGTATGTATTTTTTTAATGCAAAATCATAATATATTTTAAATTATTCTTCTATAAGTATAAAATACAAAAATACAATTGAATTCTATTTTGATGATTATAATTCACGTACTAGATAACATTTATTCACTTTAAAGAAATACTTCATAATTATAATTGTTTTTATGTTTGAGGTTATATTTATAAAAATTTTAAATATACTTATTTAAATATCCTTTGTTTTCTCATAAACTAATCTTTACATAATCAACATAAATATATAACAAATATTTACTTTAATCGTTTAATTGTCAATTGTTCAAACAGTAAATAAATCCATACTAATAATTCCATATATGATAGTTTATATATATATACAAAACTATGTATGCTAGTTGATATAGAATATTCATTACTTTTTTATTATTATAATTCTTTTAACAGATTTTAAAAACGTTATTTAATGATTGTAAATAAAATATTGATTTAAAAAGATAAAGGTAAATAAAATATTGATTTAAATTTAATAAAAAAATATATCCTTCAAAGTAAGTACACACGTGTTTCATACATTTCGTTAAAGTCGACAAAATATTTTGTTATAAGTTTATTTCATATGATCTAAACATTAAATAATTTATAAAAAAAAATGTATTTCTACAGAGATATATGTACTTGTAAAATATTACAATTGTTTGAAACTACTTTATGTCAATGTCAAATAAAAACTGCATAACCTTAAAAAACCGTAAACACTTGATCTTGGTCAGTATTCTATATCTTTCATTTACATTTCAGGTAGTAAAAATGAACGAAATAACTTTACCACCATCTCCAAATTGGTACTTAAATAATATTCTTGCTTGTTCTTCTAATGGCACTACAGCATGGGGTGCTAGGAATACAATTGTTATTGCTAAACCTAATGAAGATGATAAAATATTACAATACTCTATTATTAAACATGCTCACAAATCTAAAGTGACATGTCTTGCATTTACTCCACAAATAGAAGAAGTAAACCCTAATTTAATAGCTTCTACAGGAGATGATAATGCAATTAAAATATGGGATTCTGGAACATTATGTGGTAGTTACACTTATCTTTTACAAAATGTAAGTATTAATATATGTATGTTATATTTACATACATTATATACTTGTATTAATATATGTATATTATAAATTTATATTATAAATTTATAGTGAGTAAATTAAATTACTACTTTAATTTTAGGATAAACAAGCAATAGGCATAGAATGGTCTCATAAAGAAGCTTACGTTATCTATGTAGCAACATCTGATGGTTGTGTATTATCATGGAATGCTCATTTTGATACTATTTCTTCCATTTCATTAGGGAAAGCAATACCTACTTGTATATCTTCTTGTCCCCATCATTCACATGTTGTAGCTGTAGGCACAAAAAGTGGTTTAGTTTATATTATTAATTTTCAAGACAAGGGAAAAATAATTTATAAGCTTAGAGGACATGATACTGAAATAGTTAGTTTATCATGGTGTCCGTCAGAGAACAATGTTCTAAGTGGAAATCTAAATAAAGATTTATTGTTAGCTTCAGGAGGAAAAGAAAGGTAATTTAAAAAAAATGTAATAAGTGCTTTTAATTATAATTTTATTATATACATTTTAAAATTGGAATATATAGGTCAATTTTCATTTGGAAAGCTGGTGGAGATGGACGTTGTGAACTGACAATTTCATTGCCTTCAGCACCTCTTAATTCTCATCAGCATAGAAGTAAATTAAATGCTTCTGTAGGTAATTGGGTTGTAGTTCACTGGATAGAACCTAAACTGTTATTAACAAGTTCATCTTGGGGTGAATTAATTTCTTGGGACTTATCAATAATGATAAAAGGCAAGCCTGGTGTTAAACTAATACATGCACATCACAGCAGGGGATTGTTTTGTATTGCACATGAACCACATACACAAAATATTTCAGGAGAAAATTGGAGACTAAGACAAAGGTCCTTATTAATAAATTTATGATTAAATATGATTATGAAGAGTTTATAAACTGAAATATTTTTGATAAATTATAGACATACAATTTGGACTTTGGCACAAGATCGAAGAATTATTTGTTGTGGAATAGAAGAAAATAATGTTGAAATACATTATGATATATTTACACAAGGTGGATATGTTTACTGCATTGCTGCTTGCCCATTAGATACTTCATATGTTGCATTTGGTGTTGGAGATGCAATGTTACGATTATGGAATTTATCGGAAGCACATACTACTACTTTTGATATATCTGCTTTTTGGCAAAAAATTAAAGGGAAAATTCGTGCTGTAAGAATTGTATAATAATTTCAAGAAGATTTATCTATAAATAAAGTTTATTTTTTATACGTTTTTTTAGATTATAAAAATCAGTTGTTTAATATAACTATGTACATAATTAATAGATAACATGGCACCCTGAAAAAGAGAATTTATTGGCTTATGCAACTGATGAAGGTCGAGTTGGTGTATTTAATATAAACGGAAATAAACCACCCCTACTATATAGACAATATCATAGAAGTATAATATATACTATTGGTTGGGGTCCAAATCCAGAAAATAAATTTGTTTTGTATTCCTGTGGAGAGGGAGAGCTTGTGTATTATGATTCAGAAAAAGTTATAAACCAAGGTAATATTTTGTATTTTCTAATTAATAAATGATTCCAATATTATTATGTATTTATTATAAAATTATATTTTTTTTTAATTAGAGGCAAAATCTGTATTGAAAAAAGAATGTACAGAATTTTCTTGGAAACCAGACTTTTCTTGCTTAACAGTAGGACTTGAGAATGGGTATGTTTTTAAATATGTTATATGATATTCTTAAAAATAAAGATTTTTTGTTTTTAGAACAATTTTATTTCTTAATAAAAAATTTGAAACACGTGGATGCGCTAAGTTTTCTTCAGAAATGGTGCATTGCTTAGTCTGGCATCCTGAGAGTACAGCAACAGATTCAACATTTTCTCCATTAAAAAATTACTTAGCTGTTGCTTTTGAATCATGTACTATACTTATTCTTGATTTATCTAATTTTATAGACTATTTTAAAAAAGTGGAAGATTCAACTAACAGTGATAATGACAATGATAAGTGTGATATTTATAAAGTGCATGAAATTGTAGCTTCTTTAATTGGACATGTAAAAAATGTTGTTTGTTTAGCATGGAGTCCACATATAAGTGGACATCTAATATCTGGTAGTTATGATGGAACTGCACAGGTATTAAAAATTTTATATATGCATTTAAATATCATTTTAGAAGCAAATATCTTTTAGATAAATATACATGAATATTATTCTTTTTCTAGATATGGAATATTCAAACACAAGAATTAATAGCTACATACACAGGACACAGTGGTCCAGTATTATGTTGCATGTGGAGTCCATTAGATCCTAATTTTATTATAACAGGTTCTGCTGATTCCACAATACGAATATGGAAAATTGCTCACTATTCGCCACAAAAAGAAGTATTTAAAAAATCATGTAAAATAAGCAAATCAAAAGAGAAACAAAATGGAATAAATGGAACTGTTAATACTTCTATTGAAAATAGTTTATTAGAATTAACTAATGCTACTTCAGAATGTTCTATTTCAAATGTTTCCAAAACTATACAAAGTATAACGATATTATAACGATATTGATAATATAATATTAATATTGTTATTATAGTATAATAAATATCTATCAACTTTTTCAGAGTCAAAGATAATGATGATGACAGAGGTAAGAAATAAAAACGTACGATCATATTTTTCAAAATGTACTAACACAACATCTCAAAAAACACTTTTACTTAATTCTCTCTTAAATATTATAAAAAATATGAAAAGTGAAAATTTTGATATGAAAGATATTCAGAAAGATACTTCTTATCATATGATACCAATATTATTTTCAACACAAGAATATTTTGTATCACATTTAAATAATGAAAGTAAGTTATCTATTATTAAAATAAAATATTATAGTGATTTAATGATATGTTATATTTGCTTTATTTTTTATCATTCTATAGAACATACTCATACTGAGAAAAATTCTCATAATCTAATCACAGAAATGGATATATGGTGCGATAATCTTAAACAAAATTTAGAGGAAGCTGCTAAAGAAAAACGCCTTAATGACTTTCTTGTTTCACTTTCAGCTAGTCTGTCTATGAAGTATATAACCTTATTTATTCACTTTATAAAATGTAATTAAAATCGTCATAAAAATAATCTAACAATAACGTATTGCAGAGTTTGGAAAGATATGTGTGAACTATATGCATATCAATTAGTGATTGAAGGCAATCCATATAAAGCAGTATCATATTTACTTTGTGTACATAAAACTTATAAAGCTATAGAAGTATTTCAGACTACAAATTTATATAAAGAAGCATATGTTCTTGCAAGGTGTAGACTTGAATCTGATGATCCAGTGCTAATAGAAATATTAAAACAATGGGCAAAATATAGTATAAGTACAGGCAATTTTGAACAAGCAGCATACATGTAAGTTATTGTAAAATACATGTAAATTATATTTTTATTTAAACTTTTTAATTATGTAATATATAATTTTATTTTCAGTTATGCTAAATTAGGAGAATTTTCGGATACTGTAAAATATCTTGCTCGCCGTAAAGATGCAACCACATTAATAACGGCAGCCGAAATTGCTTTTTTATGCAATGATGAAATATTTAGTAAATCTTTAGCTCAACAAGCAATAATTACAACTTTAATAAATTCGGAGTATGACTTTGCACGAAATATAATAGAGAAGTTTCCATATCTTAAGGTATGTTTATTATATATATATGTATATATGTTTAGTTATTTCCTTATGTAATGATTATTTTTTACAAAATGTTTGTTTTTAGTATCAAGAAATACATTTATTAACTTTTGAAGAACTTGAAAAAATTATTGAAGGAGATATAAGTTTTGATCAGATTCAAACGTGGATAGATGGAGAATCAAATTATGGTCTGTTACAAACCTTAGAAACAATCTGTGGAAATTGTAGTTCTTATTACAATGATTTATATCAAAATAGATTTTATAAAATTTTAGACAACGAGAAAATGGTAAGCTTGATAATCTAAAATACTTAATTTTTTAAACATTGAAAACAATTGGATCATTTGTAATTTCAGTTATGGTTAACAGTTGGTCATGAAATTGCACTGGCAATAGCTTCTCTTGAAAAAGAGCAGAAATTAAAACATATTGTTACAGTATTACATACAATTACTCAATTTGAATTACTGCATCAAAAAGGTTTAGAAAACTTATATAATTTTTTAATTGAAATTATTATAAAATTAGATATTAAAAGTCCAATGGATGAAACAAGTATATATACAAAAAGTGATTATTCTATATCAATTAGTTTACGAGCTTATTTATGTTATGCTCTTCTGAATTGGTTTGTGTGCCATATAAATGAAGAATTTATTAATAATAATAATATAATAAATTGTATCAACCTGATCGAACATTTATTTGAAAATGTATTAAATAAACAAACAATAAAACATTGGTCAATAACAAATGAAATCAACAAATTAGAAAATCAAATAGCTTCTATAAAATGTAAGTTACAAACGTATTATACAAATAAAAAATTATTACTAATAAATATAAAAAATCAAAAAGATTAATATTTTTATTAGGTAAAACGCAAGAGGAAAATAAAGCTGATCAAGATGTAGAATCTCTTATGGAAAAATTAAACACATTAAAGACACAGAAGGATCAGATTCTCAACGATTTAGTTCATATTCCAGATCCTGTTATGGTGTACGGTATAGCAAATGAACTATGCAGTAAATTGCATGATGAAACTATTAAAAATAAGTTTGTGAAATGTATTTCCGAAACGTGGTTAAATGCTACTAAATAAATACATTTTTCATATTTTTTTGTAATGAACATTATATTAGATATCAGTGAATTAATATTTGTTAATTAAGTTAACAATGTTTATCACTTTATTATTTTTATTTAACTTCTTATTTATCTTTTTTTATTATTTTCATTTTCCATAAAATATTACAATGCATTGTGTGAAATGTAAAGAAGGTAAATATGATTTTTATTTATAAAAAATGGCTGTAAATCATCTTTTTTTTTATTAATAAAATAATGATGATATTTTTTTGTAATAAAATATTTTTACTTCTTAATTCGAAGTTATTTTCCAAAACCGAAGTTCTCTGTCACTCGTTGCACAAACATACGGTAATTTATAATGACAAGTTATCCCACCTATTAATTTAACTTGGCCACAAATTATTTCTTGTTCAGTTTTTATATTTGTAACTTTTAATAAATTATCTGGTCTGCCTACACTTGCTATAAAATTTTCATAGGCAGGAAAGAATTTCACCATTAAACCTCCTTCAATGTGAAGAGGTTTTGATTCTAAAGGTGGACTGAAAATAATATATTAATCATAAAATATATTGCAATTATTATTTTAATTATTGATTAATGTTTAAATTTACTTTTTTAATCGCATTACCTAGGTTTGGATATATCCCATAAAATTAACTTTCCAGCTGCTATGGCTGCAACTTTTAATGGATTGGGTCCCCAATCAATTGACATTAAGGGAACAATATTTGTATCTAAAGACATAATTGCTTGCTGACTTCGTACATCGTACATGTGAATCAATCCATTTTTTTCACCAACAAGAAGCTTGCCAGATTTTTCAAGATGAAAACGTATACTCATTCCTGGAGATGTTAAGTAAAATGTAGATATACATTTCTCATCTTCTTTTACAGCCCAAAGTTTACAAGTGTGATCATCAGATACAGAAGCCAATATTTCACCTTCAGTTTCATAACAAATTGAATTTATATAATCCTTGTGTCCTTCCATCTTATATTAAAAGAAATATTAATAAAT